CAGCGGAGCCCAGGCGTGTGCCTTGGCCGCCACCCAGTATCAGGGCGCCTACCATACCTTTCGAAACTGCCTCAAGACCGAGATCATGCCAATTTGTCCTTACCTCTGGCGCAGTTTCACTCAGCTGATGCACTACTCCTTCCTCAAGTGGTAACAGCTGGTCAACTATCTTCTTTTCGACGTTGTCAGCCTTAGTGGATCGCTCAAACAAATCGACAATTTGCAGCAGATCGAGTTCTCTAAGGGCCTCAACCAGCTCGCAAGCATCCTGAGCATTTACTCGGCCTGCATCGACGAAACGAAAGACATGGCCCTGCCCCGCTTTGTCAAATACTCGTCGAATAGAAGGTGGAATGGAGTTAGCGCTTGCCATAAATTTCGAGCTTTCCAGTCGGATGATGTTGCGAGGAAGGCCGTCCATCAAAGGTTTTATGTATGCTTCCAATCCTTCGCTGGATGCGCTTTTGCAAGTGACACAGAAATTTCCTCGAGCGAGACAAGAAAAACTAGATGAATCTATTAGTTGCGACACGATGGACTTGAGCTTCCATGTGTAATCGTATTAATTGCTATTTAAAAATGACCCTAGGTTTTCATTCTGGTGGTCACGATTTACCTGCCGCTTTCAACCCGTATATTTCGTTGCTCAAAGCCAACTTGTTGTAGCACATGGCAGGAAGACGCATTTTTAGGCGGTCGTACGAAAGGTGGAAGGAAGCAGGAACGATTCCGAGCATCTTGACTGTTACTTTGTTTTCAATGTAATGTCACTTATGCTTGTTTTCTAATTAAACGGGTTTAAGTTCGAGGTCTAATACGCACAATCATTTCGAAACAATCGCTATGCCTTACGTCCCCAAGGAGCTGGCGCTCAAATTGCGTGCAGCCGACCAAGGTCACGTGCTCATGGTGAAAACAAGTTTTTTCTTTCATTTTTTTCATTCCTGCCTTCTATGATGAAATTAATCTCATTGAAAATTCTGTTGACAGTTTGATGATGCGGACAACCTTTCGCCATTAGAGGCACGGGAGTTTGCAAAGGAGGTATGATCAAGTTATAATCATACATATATCAAGATTGAATAACCTTCGACTACTTGTGCTGTATTGAAATGATTGTAGCTTGAAGCTCTTGATCTAGAGTTCCTGCAAACCATTTTCCAAGCTTCAACACAAGGGACAATTGCTGAGACAAGGACGATTGAACCCCTTAGGAGCTATGATCGATTAGAGCAATGCTCGATACAAGACAAGCAGCATTGGTTGAATCTAGGCCTGGAAAGTATTAGTCGAGGACAAGTTGCTGCTCTGGTATTGAGTGGGGGGTCAAGGTACCCGACTGGGTTTTGCAGGTCCTAAGGGTATGTACGACATTGGTCTACCGTCAGAGAAGAGTTTATTTCAGCTTTTTGCAGAAAGAATTGTGGCTCTGCAAGTTTTAGCTGGAGACAAATTTTCGACAAGATTACGACAGGAGATTCAAATTCCATTTTACGTGATGACGAGCAGGATGAATCATGATACGACTATAGAGTTCTTCAAAAAGCACAAGTTTTTTGGCTTGAAAGAGTCGCAAATGTTTTTTTTCCCTCAAGGTATTTTGCCATGCTTTACAATGGATGGAAAGCTCATTTTGGAGAATGCACACAAGTTGGCGACAGCACCAGATGGTAATGGTGGCATTTACAAAGCAATGAAGTCAAGTGGAGCGCTTGCCAGACTGCAGGCGTGTGGTGTGAAATACTTGCATGTCTTTTCGGTGGACAATGCGTTATGCAAAGTGGCCGACCCAACTTTCATTGGGTACTGCATCGACAAGCAAGCAGACTGTGGCAACAAGGTGGTATGGAAGGCGCAGCCCGATGAACGTGTCGGCGTTGTGGCCAAGAGGAATGACCGCTTTTGTGTGATCGAGTACTCGGAAATCGATCGTGAAATGTCTGAGCGTGTGGACCCTCGCACAGGCAAGTTGGCTTTTTGGATCGGCCAATATTTGCAATCACTTTTTCACAATGTACGTTCTTGCAGGGATAATTCTTAGTTTTGCTTCACACGACGCTAAGCTTTGTCTGTAGTGATTTCTTGGTAGACGTAGTGCTCCCAAATTTGAGTCTTACGTATCACGTAGCTCACAAGAAAATCTCAATCAGCGGAGCCCAGGCGTGTGCCTTGGCCGCCACCCAGTATCAGGGCGCCTACCATACCTTTCGAAACTGCCTCAAGACCGAGATCATGCCAATTTGTCCTTACCTCTGGCGCAGTTTCACTCAGCTGATGCACTACTCCTTCCTCAAGTGGTAACAGCTGGTCAACTATCTTCTTTTCGACGTTGTCAGCCTTAGTGGATCGCTTAAACAAATCGACAATTTGCAGCAGATCGAGTTCTCTAAGGGCCTCAACCAGCTCGCAAGCATCCTGAGCATTTACTCGGCCTGCATCGACGAAACGAAAGACATGGCCCTGCCCCGCTTTGTCAAATACTCGTCGAATAGAAGGTGGAATGGAGTTAGCGCTTGCCATAAATTTCGAGCTTTCCAGTCGGATGATGTTGCGAGGAAGGCCGTCCATCAAAGGTTTTATGTATGCTTCCAATCCTTTGCTGGATGCGCTTTTGCAAGTGACACAGAAATTTCCTCGAGCGAGACAAGAAAAACTAGATGAATCTATTAGTTGCGACACGATGGACTTGAGCTTCCATGTGTAATCGTATTAATTGCTATTTAAAAATGACCCTAGGTTTTCATTCTGGTGGTCACGATTTACCTGCCGCTTTCAACCCGTATATTTCGTTGCTCAAAGCCAACTTGTTGTAGCACATGGCAGGAAGACGCATTTTTAGGCGGTCGTACGAAAGGTGGAAGGAAGCAGGAACGATTCCGAGCATCTTGACTGTTACTTTGTTTTCAATGTAATGTCACTTATGCTTGTTTTCTAATTAAACGGGTTTAAGTTCGAGGTCTAATACGCACAATCATTTCGAAACAATCGCTATGCCTTACGTCCCCAAGGAGCTGGCGCTCAAATTGCGTGCAGCCGACCAAGGTCACGTGCTCATGGTGAAAACAAGTTTTTTTCTTTCATTTTTTTCATTCCTGCCTTCTATGATGAAATTAATCTCATTGAAAATTCTGTTGACAGTTTGATGATGCGGACAACCTTTCGCCATTAGAGGCACGGGAGTTTGCAAAGGAGGTATGATCAAGTTATAATCATACATATATCAAGATTGAATAACCTTCGACTACTTGTGCTGTATTGAAATGATTGTAGCTTGAAGCTCTTGATCTAGAGTTCCTGCAAACCATTTTCCAAGCTTCAACACAAGGGACAATTGCTGAGACAAGGACGATTGAACCCCTTAGGAGCTATGATCGATTAGAGCAATGCTCGATACAAGACAAGCAGCATTGGTTGAATCTAGGCCTGGAAAGTATTAGTCGAGGACAAGTTGCTGCTCTGGTATTGAGTGGGGGTCAAGGTACCCGACTGGGTTTTGCAGGTCCTAAGGGTATGTACGACATTGGTCTACCGTCAGAGAAGAGTTTATTTCAGCTTTTTGCAGAAAGAATTGTGGCTCTGCAAGTTTTAGCTGGAGACAAATTTTCGACAAGATTACGACAGGAGATTCAAATTCCATTTTACGTGATGACGAGCAGGATGAATCATGATACGACTATAGAGTTCTTCAAAAAGCACAAGTTTTTTGGCTTGAAAGAGTCGCAAATGTTTTTTTTTCCCTCAAGGTATTTTGCCATGCTTTACAATGGATGGAAAGCTCATTTTGGAGAATGCACACAAGTTGGCGACAGCACCAGATGGTAATGGTGGCATTTACAAAGCAATGAAGTCAAGTGGAGCGCTTGCCAGACTGCAGGCGTGTGGTGTGAAATACTTGCATGTCTTTTCGGTGGACAATGCGTTATGCAAAGTGGCCGACCCAACTTTCATTGGGTACTGCATCGACAAGCAAGCAGACTGTGGCAACAAGGTGGTATGGAAGGCGCAGCCCGATGAACGTGTCGGCGTTGTGGCCAAGAGGAATGACCGCTTTTGTGTGATCGAGTACTCGGAAATCGATCGTGAAATGTCTGAGCGTGTGGACCCTCGCACAGGCAAGTTGGCTTTTGGATCGGCCAATATTTGCAATCACTTTTTCACAATGTACGTTCTTGCAGGGATAATTCTTAGTTTTGCTTCACACGACGCTAAGCTTTGTCTGTAGTGATTTCTTGGTAGACGTAGTGCTCCCAAATTTGAGTCTTACGTATCACGTAGCTCACAAGAAAATCTCAA